AATAAAAAAAAATAAAATACAAATCTGATAAAAAAATCAGCCATTGAGCCAAAATAAAAAAAATACAAAACTGATAAAAAATCACTAAATCAGCCATATAATCAACCATATAATCAGCCATTTCAGATTTTCAAAATAAAGCATTTCAAATTCAAACATATCTCACATTTTCAATTCAGCAATCAACATACAATCAAATTCAAAATAAAACATTTCAAAAAACAAAAAAAAACAAAAGAATGGACTCAAGGACTCAAAGGGGCGGACTACTATTGGAAGTTGGAACACTTGGACAGTTGGACTCATGACCTCATGGGGCCGAATGGAAGAAGAAGAAGAAGAAGAAGAAGAAGAAGAAGAGTGGAGAGAGGACTGAGTCGACTGGCTAATGAGAGGACAGAGGAGTATAGGGGCGGAGCCCCTGTTTTTGACTTTTTTCGAAAAAAAAAAGAAAAGGAGGTTTGGCGGAAGAAGAAGAAGAAGAAAACTGAAGAAAGAAACTTACCTGCCGCTGCCGGAGCTGAGGTGCGATGGAGGTGGGCTGGGGCTCGAGCTGGTGTTTGGTTCTCCTCCCTCTCCAATCGAAAAGCCCTTTTGACAGAGAATAAAATGAATATTAACTTGTTTCTTGTCTTAATACTTAAGAGTTAAGATGATATCATGTAGCTGATATATTTTAAAACAATACAACCACCAATAAAATTTCAAAACAATAAATTAAATAAAAAATAATTTTATTGTATGTAAATAGGCGCCCGCCTAAGTCTTTGGGTGGGCGCCTAGTATGTAAAACTTGGGTCGTCTGGGCGAGGAGACCATGAAGAGCCGCCTAGTCGCCTTGACAACTATGTTTCACACAAAACTGATAAAAAAACATAGTGTTTTTGCACACAAACAATGGAAAAAAAGCAGTGGGGCAGAACCCCTGTTTTGTGCTACAAAACTTGAAAAAGAATGTGGGGGTGGCAGAGCCCCTGTTTCTGTCATGCAAACTGAAAAAAGTAGTACTTGGAGCTGGAGCTGGTCGACTTGGAACAGCTGGACTGGAACGATGGAGTTCCTCTCCTTCTTCCTTCACAGTTCGGTGGGTTTGGTCGAATGGGAAAACCTTACAACAAGACAAAACTTAGTTTATCATTTAGACAACAAATAAAAAAATGTTAATATATAACAGGGTGTATGTTATAAACATAAAACCACCAATAACATTTCACAAAAAAATAAAAAATGTCAGGATTGATTCAACTAGGTTCCTGACTTGTATTTAAAAATGTTAGGATTAATGCCAAGAAGTTCATAAAATGCAGCTTGACATGACCTTCGTTATTTTTCGCAAAGAGAAATAACATGCTAACATAAAGACATGGAGAATTGCAATTTTCTTACTGTCAGGTTAGTATATTGGGCGCATTGTGTCATCCAAAAGGATCTACTTGATCTGGGAAAAGTGCAATCAATAAATGAATTGATTGGCCTTCTCAGTATACTATTTGCAAGGACTATAGTTTTCATAGATTTGCATCACTCTATTTCCAGTTTGTACAAAATTTCAGCACATTGTTGTTCCATAATGAATTGAATGAGCAAAGATATCCTCCAATGAACCAAAGAATAAGAGGATATCCTTTCATTGGTTAAGATTTTGTTGTCAGAATCTTCTATTCTTGTGTTACCCGATTTTACTATAACATTTCAGGTTACTTGTGATGGTTTGTACATTGGTGTAGGTGCAATACCAAGTCAATAGGCAAGCCTTCAGCATCTTATAGTGAGAAACTTAGAGGGGGAAGCTAAGGAACTGCACCTATGAGATTTGTTTCTAAGTTATCATGCAACCATTATGTCGTTAGCAGCATTACATGCTGCAAAGAGAATTACAGCAGAATACATGGGTAGTACTTCCACCTTCTCTCTTCCCTTCATCATCTTATAGTGAGAAACTCAATGGGGAAAAGCTGAGGAACTGCACCTATGAGATTTGCTTCTAAGTTGTCATGCAAGCATTATGTCATTAGCAGCATCGCATGCTGCAAATAGAATTATAGCAGAATATTTGGGTAGTACTTTTTCAATTAACAAAAAAAAAAAAATATTTGGGTAGTACTTCCACCTTTTTGATGTAACTATTTCACAATGTTTTGATGTTCAGTAAGGAAGGGTGATGTGGTGTCCCATTTTCAGAAGACCTTTGATTGGAAATTTGAAGAATGTGCAAGTTTACTGGCTAAGTTGTAAGAGGTGGAGGTTAATTATGAGGGTCTGGATGTGAGATGGTGAAGGGATGTAGAAATGGATAATTTACAGTGATATCTTACTACAAAGCTTTGGCAGAAAGACAGTTTGAGAGGGATATATTCTTTGTGAATCAGATGATGAAAACAGCATGCATCTTTTGGTGGACCATGTGATGTAGGACCAACTCAATTCCAGTCCTTAGAGAATGTTGAATGGTCTTCTTGATTAGAGTTTTATGGTTGTCAATGGCTGTAATGGCTTCTTGAAGGAATAAAGGAGAAAATAGGGAGAGAAATAAGAGAAAAATACCTGGAGTCACTCACAAGGTGCCTAGAATCACTCTAGGTCATGAGAATCACTCACCATGGCTAGCATAAGCTGAAGAAAACTCAATATGATTTATTGCCTTTGTGTAAAAGGTCCATACATATTTATAGACTCTAAACTCATAACAATTCTAGGGGTCAAACTGTTAGACTCATAATAGTCTTAGGAGTCAAACTATTAGACTCAATAATCCTAGTAGGACTAAAACTAAGCTGTCATATCCTGTTTCAATTCAAAGAAGACTCAATAACTCTAATCCTTCTTATGCAATGGCACTGAAATTTTAAACATAAACAAACTATAACTAGGCAATTTAAACCCTATCATTGGACCCCACAAAAAATTGCAAAAGTGACAAAAATACCCCTACTGTCCAAAAATACAAAAATACATAAAATATCATAAAATTCCAATTTTGGCTCTTCAGCTCCTGCATCATTCTCCCTGGGTTGAAAAAAACTTGTCCTCGTGTTTTGAAGAACTTGAGGATGAAAAGTTATGCCTTAATTACAAATGGAGTAGGACGTCCCATAGCTATATGCTTGGACTGTAGAGTAGGGGCTACACACAGAACTAGAAAAGGATCTTGAAAGAAATGTATTTCTGAAACACTGCCTTCCCTAACCATCTTTGTTAAATCGTTGATAACATTAGTTTTTTGAACACTTGATTTATCAACCAACCATTGTGATGAATCTTCCCCTCGCTTATCCAAACTCTTAATTGCAACATTTGGAACCTTTGCTTCAACCTCTACCTTAGGAATCACCATTTCTATGTGTTTTGCTATCCTTGGTTCTTCAACAAACTCTAGGACTCCTTCCATTGTTGATGTTGGTGGAACTTGATTCTTGAATTAGTTGTAGTTGAACTTGAAAGGTAAAGCTACTTATTTTCTTATTAGGATCTACTACAGTCAACACATTTGTATCTTGCACCTGAATTTCTTTAACTCTCTCCTCTTCTATTTCTTCTTGATCATTAACCTCAGGCTGATCATTAACCTCAGTCAACACATTTGTTTTTTTTTGGCCTGCACCCTCTTGATTTTTGATATCTACAATTTTTATAGCTTGAAATTCTTCTTCTTTAGCTTCATCCTCAACTTCAGCAATAGGATAGGCATCAATATGCAAGGAATCATCTACTTTCTTTTCAACTTTGTACCTTCTTCCCACTGACTTCAAGTTCTTTGTTGTAACCTGCTGCTGCTTCTTTTGCCTGATATTAATCAACTCCATATATAGATCATCATGGAAGTCTAGTGTGATGTACTTTTCTTGCAAACACCTCTTCATCTCTGCCCATGTACTAATTGGATCATCACCTCTATTTTCTAATCGTTGCTCAAGGCTTCTCCACCATACTTTAGCATGACCCATCAGCTTCATGCACGCAAATCCAATCCTTTGTTTGTCAAGCATATCATGCCAATCAAAATATTAGTCTAGTTCAGCAACCCAATCAAAGAATTCTTGCGGATCATCATCTCCTTTGAAATCTGGTATTTCCCTTTCTCAATGGCTGTAATGACTTCTTGAAGGAATAATAGAGAAAATACCTGTAATCACTCACAGGGTAACTACAATCACTCTAGGGCATGGGAATCATAAAACTGAGCTGGTCCTACATCACCATGGCTACACAATTTTTGTGTGGGACTACTTTGGAAACGAGCTGTGGTCACCTCAAACATCTAAAGAAATCTTTGAGTTATGGCCACTAGAGGCAAAGGTTTTCTGGAGTTGCATTTCATTTGCAGCATGTTGGGAAGTTTGGAAAGAAATAAACAGGAGGATGTTTGAAGCGAAACAATAATCAAAAGAGAAGTTATGTAGGATAGTAGGTGTTAAATTGCTCAATTGAGTGTTGGTGCTTCCAGATTTTCAAGGAATCAAGAGAGAAGAGTTTGGAGCTGAATTTTGGAAGACTTTAGACCTGCAGTAATAGATTGTGTTATTGTATTTGTTTATTTTTGTCTGTTTTTGTTTGAAGTTCAGTGTTCTATATGTATTAGGTGATGCCCCATCACCCAATTATCTCTGTATTTTTTTCCTTTTCAATGAAACGCTATTTTATATTGTTCTTCAAAAAAACGTGACTAGTGGTAGTTATCAGGTATAAATTTTTGTTCCACATCTCTTGTTTGGTTATCTCTTTTGCATCACAAAATATTGGAGGCTGATTCAAAGTTGAATTCAACCCTGAGCTACTTTATAAAAACAGAGCTGTTTTCTTATTGTTTGATGCATGCTGAATTTCAACATAGCATTTTTTTTTCTTGTCCTCTGTTGCCTTCATTTTTTCTATATTGGTTAGTTTCTTGAAGGTCAATAATAAATGATAAAGATCTTGATACATTTGAAACTGGAAATTGTTGGGTTGTTTATTTTATTTGTGTTTGGGTGTGTATTTATATAAATATTTTTTGTTGACAGCGGTTATTTGTAGCTCAAACAGATCATACGGAGACATCTTCATGTATTATCAGTCCCCCACAAGTGAAGTATGACCTTTAATCTACTTGCCAGCTCTGTTTGTTATATTTACTGTAATTTGTGTCCAATTACTTCTTTTGTTTTCTGTAGCTTTTTGTTGAATGGGAGGGGAGTGGATAGAAGAGTTTACATTTCAATGGTATATATATCTTCACTAACACAATTTTCTTTTTGTAGTGGAACGCTACTATGATGAGCAATGCTTGCATGCATGCTTTTTGCATGATATTTCATATCTAACATCAGTGTGCTCTGACTTGGTGGTGTAAGAGCATAGACCTTCCTAAGGACATGCCCAGGCATAAGACCAGACCAAACCTGAGTGCGATCTGTGACTTGAACCGCTCCTGGTCCATGCCTGAACACCATCTAATCGTAGTTGGGTCACAATTAGACTATACCAGACTTCGAAACCTGTGTGCGATCCCAGTCGTGCACCCCCAACTAAAACATTCAAATAGGACACACACCGATTGGAAGGACAATCGGCTGGTACCATATCTCCCACGTGTTAACAATAACCAACCTATAGCTGCCTGGTGAGGAGATTTGTCTGGACACGAAATTATCCTCTTTCACAGAAATAAATATGATATTCCTTTACCGAAAAGTAAAGTAATTGTAAATCATACCTCCACTAATTCTGAAAAATAAACCATAAAGGGAAGAAAGATGAGAGAAGATCAAACCCCTCTTCTGTCCTCTAATTACTTTTATTAATCCGATTGTAAAATTCAGTACAATGACAACATAACATACTAATAATAGCACCATTAAATAAAAAGACTAAGGCCTACTAACTGATTACTGGCCCAATAAATCACAGCCCACTAACTGAAAACATAACATACTAGTAGTAGCACCATAAATTAAAATGACTAAGTCCCATTCAGCCCATCATCTCTACATTCCTCCTCAAGTTGAGCATTGATATCAATCATGCCAACTTGCTTACATAGTGGTGTAACCTTGCCTTGGGGACACCCTTCGTCAAAGCATCTGCTAATTGTTGCTCTGAGGCAATGAAAGGAAGGCAGACTTCTCTTGATGCCACTCTCTCTTATGAAGTGTTTGTCTACTTCAATGTTTTTTTGTTTTATCATGCTGAACTGGGTTATGAACAATGTTTTTAGTAGACTGATTATCATAGTACAACATTAGGAGATTATCATAAGTGATTAGGGTGAGCATGGGTTGGTTCGGTTCAGTTTGGTTCCAAGGCAGAACCTGGAACTGTCCCTGTAAAGGTTGGTTCCAGGGTCGGTTCTGGCCTTGTTGGTTCCAAAGGTCTACCCATGGAACCTATTCTTTAAAAATTTAATAACCTGAACTAGTTCTTTAAAAAATTAATTTCATGAACATGTTCTTTAAAAATTCAATAACCTGAAAACCTGAACCTATTCTTTGAAAAATTAATAACATGACATCTAAGTGAAATGTCCACCATAACTTGGATATGGTAGTATATATTACTTATTAAATTGTGTTAATATAATATTAAGAATTATCAATATAACACATGGACATTTAGAAATATTAATAATTCAAAATTGTGAGTAATTCGATTAACCCTAGCTCAGTCCTAGGTCTGAAGTAAGTAAGAAGAGAGAGAGAGAGAGAAGAAGGTGAGAGGGTTCGGTCTGAGAAGAAGAAAGGTCACCTCTCTCAGCCGACCCACTTTGTATTTATATTTTTTGTATTAGATTACAAAAGACATAGTTGTCCCTCATTAAGTATGAGACACACAACTTAAACTCTGCCAAAATAGGCAACTTAACCTTAATTAGATAGACAAAAGACTTAACTACCCTTGTACTATCGATTCTAACAAAAATAATAATTGAGTGAAAATTAATTTAAAATATTATATTGTTGAAAGTGAAATAAATCTAATCTGATTTGAAATCTGTGATAAGAAGAAAAGGAAAAGTTTGTGCAGAGAAGAGAAGAAGAGAAAGATTGAAGAAAATGGGGAGAAGCCAAAAGAACAGATCTGGCTGCCTCTTTCACCATCTTATATACTCGTAATTAAAAAAGGAGACAATGACAAGTATACCCTTAGTAAGTTGACTATTATAAAATGCAAGTAAACATTCTTAAGCAAAACATAAACTAATAGGCCTTGGGCCCAATAACAAATGTTCTCAGCTCAATCTCAACACTCCCCCTCATGTTGGGGATAGATGTCACACATCCCCAACTTGTGTAGATCATGCTCAAGCTTGTTTCTTGCAACACCTTTTGTAAGAACATCAGCTAGTTGTAAGTCAGATGCAAAATATGGTAAGCACACTTCTCCGGATGTCACCCTCTTCCTTATAAAGTGTCTATCCACTTTTATATGCTTCGTCCTGTCATGCTTCAAATTGTCTATAGACCCCTTAAACTTAATTCAAATCTCCAGTTAGCTAGGGTTTTCAAGAAACCCTTGCTAATCAATCAGTCAGTCAATTCTCCACAAACCTCCCCAACTGGGCTGTATAAGCTGTTAATCAATCAGTCAGTCAATTCTCCACACACATTGTGTATGGGCCTAAAAGAGAAAACTGAAAAAGTTAAGGACTTGTTTTGATACCAAGTTGTAAATCACACCTGCACTAATTCTGAAAAACAAACCAAAAGAAAGGGGAAGAAGATGGAAGAAGAAAGAGTTCAGAAGAAGAAGGGAAGGGAAGAAAGGGAAGGAAGAAGAGAGAAGATTGAACCCCTCTTCAGTCCCCAATAAGGTGGTCACTAAATAAACAATAAAAAGAAAGAAAACTGTCCCCATAAACTAAGGCCCACTAGTTGAAAACATTACATACTAATAACACCACCTGTAAAATAAAAGGACTAAGGCCCATTTGGCCTTTCACCTCTACAAAACTAATACACTGTTTAAGGAAAGAGACCAGCAGACAAGGCCTCAAGTGCATCAAAGTTTTCCAATGGTAGCAAGCCATAGAACGACTATAAAAAGGCTATAGGAAAAGCTAACAGCAAATTATCTTACCCATAGCACCCTTAGCGTAAATCTGCACAACTCTTAGCCTACTACCTCTGCAATGTGCGTAGGGAAAGGCTTCGGCTTACCAGCTGCATCAACTGGGCAGTCTTGAACCCTTCCTCCTAGAACTACTTTCAGAGCCTTCAGACTGAATTGCCCTCCCTGGTAGCCTTACAGGTGGGGGTACCCCATGAAAAGTCACTCTAGGAGACAAGTGCTAAAATGGGTCTTACCATGTCTTTTGTCATAAGTCAAGGATGGCCCATAAAGCATTGCATGCCAGCACAGCTATATTTTTTCAGCATTTTATTTATTTTGCTTTCTCTAATGTTGTAACATAGCTTCTGTAATTACTTGTTAATATGTTGCATCATCTGATCAGGATAGTGGACCACAATTCCCAACAAATCTGAAATCAATGCTTAAATATGGAACAAATCTTCTGCAAGCTGTTGGGCACTTTAATGGTATGTGTGAACATACTCTTTAAGGTCTAGCTATCATAAGTTTTTTTATATAAATGATGTGGCTTGCATATCATGTGTCTTAAATTATTTGCAGCTAAATATATTATAGCCGTAGCCTTTATGAGTGATGTTGCATCATCTGATAATCCGGAGCTACAAGATTATGTTCAACCTGCTGTCTCTTCACTTGATTCAGGTATGCAGAGAAGAAGGTAGCAGAAGTGAAAAGTAGATTTAGGCTTTTGTTTCATCAATGTCCTAATGTAAATTGCCAAATCATGCTTTTGAAAATGCAGACATGTTTTTTTTCAATGTCCTAATGTAGAAGAATGAAGGCTAAGTTTTTAATGAATTTAACCAATGATGGTCCTATTATCCCAGGTATTGGGAGGATGACTGGATAAAATGCAAGAATAACTAGTAGTCATTGAAACTGAAACCTATCATTTGATAGAGTAATAGACAATTATGTTTAATTGTCTCTTTATCATTTACTCATTTATCATTCATTGTATATGCATTGTCTGATAATGGACAATCTTCTTGGTGGGCTAGAGTGATGGAATTTACCTTGGCACTTCCCAACTATTAGAGTTGTCATGTTAGTCAATACTAGAGAGTCTGAGTTAGTGAGTCAAATTATGTTGTGGCTTAATCGGTTGGATCATTTGTTTTTTACTTATTTGAGTTTTTAGTTTCCTCATTGGTTCGAGTTAATTAAAGTGTCAAGCCTGGAGTGTGAAGGTTGTTAATTGGCAAAGCATTGTAGACACTTTTTTTCATTAAGTAATACAAGAAGTACTTTCCCAGTTTTAAAAAACTGCATTTTTTCAATGTTCCTCTTAAGGAACAATTTCCTTCTTTGTATGCTCTTTCTGAATTTAAAAATGAGCCAGTTTCTTCATTCATCACCCTTCTTCTTCCAGTTCGGGGTTTGGGTGGGACCTGGGTCTAAGGAGGGCTGTGAGGGATTCAAACCTTGATAGTATTTCAAGCCTCTTTGAACTTCTTGATAATGTTTTCTTGGACCCTTCTAAGGTGGACTCTAGAATTTGGACCCCTACCCCCATGGGCTCTTTTTCTTGCACTTCCTTCTTCAAAGTCCTTTGCCAGTCCACCAGTCTTACAACCTCCCCTTTCCTGGTTAGTGAGGTTTGGTGCAGACCTATTCCTCCTAGGATTGGTAGTTTTTGTTGGGAAGCCTATTTGGAAAGATTCAACACTAGGGATTTGCTCCAAAAGAAGAGACCCAATACTTGTTTGTCACCTCGTTGGTGTGTTTTTTGCAAAGCGGATGGGGTGATTGGTTTTCACTTACTGGTGTCTTTCCAATTTGCAAAGTCAATCTGGGAGTGGGCTTTTTCTCTCTTTGGGTGTAGGTGGAACCCTCCATCAAACTTGCAGAGCCTATTTTCCCCTTCCTTTTTCAGGTGGCAGATGAAAAGGGGAAGGACTATGTGGAGAGGTCTGAGGGTTGCAGTATGCTGGACATCATGGGAAGAAAGAAATACTAGGATCTTCTTAGAAAATGAGAGAGGGGTTGAAGAATTGAGGGCTGTGATCCACATAAGGGCAGTATAGTGGCTGAAATCACTAGAACTATTTACAGATTACACAGTGGAAGACATGTTGAGAAAGTGGGGCGAGATTGCAAACTGCACTCAGGTCAAACCAATAATAAGGGTGTCCTGGACTCCCCCACCTACTGGCATCTTAAAGTTAAATTTTGATGGGAGTTGTAGGGGGAATTCGGGATAATCAGGGATTGGAAGTGTTTTTAGGGATGAGAACGGGGTCATTTATGCCCTGTTCTCAGGCCCAATTGGTGTGGGGGAATCCCTTAGAGCTGAGATCTTGGCAGTTATGGAAGGAGTTCAAAAAGCCAAGGAGATGAATGTCAGGAAACTCATAATTGAAGGGGACTCGGAGGTGGCTGATTAAAGATGACTGTTGTTTATGGAACTACAGAAATGAGAAGAGGAAATTCAGGTGGCTGGTGCGGGAGATGGAAATTAGGATGAGTTGGGTTAAGAGATCAACTAACTCTTTAGCTGATGGATTAGCTAAACAAGGGATAGAAAGGGAAGCAATGTTTTGGGCTAAGCTGTAACTTAATTGTTTCTTTTGTTTCTTTTTTTTTTCTCTTTGGAGGGTTTAAGTTGTATTCGGAAGATAAGAGTTCTTGTCTTCCTTGCTGTAAATATTTTGATTTTTCAATGAATTGAATGAATTTGTTATTGTTCAAAAAAATAAAAAAACTGCATTTTTCAAGGATCGTTCTTGAAACAAACCGGACCAGATCTGAAGCCAAATGAATGGGAGAGCAATACCTGATACGGAATCCACACGTGTAGCTCCCAACGTAGGTGTTCACGCCCAAAGAGGGTACCAAAACCCGCTTCCACTGAAGATGGCGTAGCTTGAGATGAAGGAGGTTCAGCAATGCAGTCCTTCAGCAAGAACTGCTATCCTTCAGCAAGGATCAAGCAAGGAGTGTGAGCACGAAATCAGATATGATTTTCTAGCAAAATCAGAGGTAGAAACTGATCTCTATCAGTCCAAGAAATTGGAGATTGAATTAGGGTTAGGGCGGCAAGAACAGAGAGAGAGAACTAAATGCAGAAAGGTGAAAATTAAAGCAGTTCGCCCCCTCTATTTATAAGCCTTCAAGATCAGCTCTCCTAATTCTATTAGGAGTTCTTTGACCCAAATCTTTATTTGGATCTGAACTCTTAAGTGGATAAGACTTATCCTCTTATCCTCTTGCTGATCCAAACCTAGATCTAAACCCAAATTCGCCCAAAGTCACATGACTGCTTAAGCTGTCATGTGACTTCTTAATTAATCCAGCATTAAGCTTGCAAGCTCACTTCCCCTTTTAATTGCTGGCTAACTTGGCTCTCTTTGTATGGTGTGGGACCTTAACATTGATCTCACAAAATCTACATGGGTTCAGCCTAGCCTCTGTTACAAGGCCTGGCTGAATTCACTGTTGTATACAGTGAACCCCTGAGTCCATCAGTATGGGCTCTTAATGGGCCCAACATTTACACTAAATGGTCCTTGAGTCTAACCACCTTATGAAGGCCCAAGGACTGGTTCTTAAGTGAGATTAGCCCATCAGGTATAAAAGCCCTAAATGGTCTTACACTTAACCTCTCAGCCCATAATGATCAAACACTGCCCCACAAGAGAGGACATCTCCTTCGGCTGTAAGGTACAATGTTGCATTCTCTACTCGGATGGATCCCGAGAATTAAAACCTTTTGCAAACCTTTTCATAAAATATATATATATATATATATATATATTCACATAAATATATTTTGCAAAACAAATCTCAAACACGGTTGAAATCTACTGTTGATAGTTTTGGTTTCCATCATAGAGAGTGCAATCCCCGATCATTCACTTTGTCCGACAAAGGGGCTGATCCTGTCATTATGATCACCCACTCAAGTGAATTCTTAGACTGCCCCAACATACCCAGGTTTTGACCCCCGCTAAGGATCTCACTGATTGGCATGTCAAAGACAGCCTAATCCGACACCTAGTGTAGTACCATAATTGAGTCTAGGGGTTAGGTGTAACTTTCCAGTTTTTCCCATCAGTCTCCAAGGTCCAGGGCACAACTGGAAATTGGTTCGGGTTCAGTGTCTTAAGCAAACACACACTATATGTGCTTCGGGTCTAACCCTGATAGCTGAGACAATCTGCCCCAACTGACTTGGCAGCACATTAGTGTCAGCCTTGGTAGGATAAACCTCCCAGGTCTATCCAACGGCTGAGAACATTCTAAACTAACACGAGTCTCATAAGTGTCCAGTTTAAGGGTAATTACACAGAAACACACCAAGTATAACATGAATCAATTATGTACTTTTATTCATTTGCAATAAATGTGAAATGTACATCAATCTGATTGGAGCTAACAGATTTCAGATATTTTTTGTTATTTGTTGATGATTATTCACTCTATTCTTGTCTTTATCTAATGTCCTCACATGATGGAGTTCCTTCCCTTGTTTCTTAGTTTTACCAAATGATTCTTACACGATTCGACATATGAAATTAAGGTGTTTTGACTTAATAATGCTATAGAGTTTTATAAAAAGAACCTCTAGTTCTTATCTCTCGGAACATGGAATTGTACATCAGAGCTCCTGTACTTATTCTCCACAACATATTGTAGAAGTATCCTAAAGCATTTGATTACTACCCTTTGTTCCATTTCGTTTTTGAGGGTTGTAGTTTCTACAATAATTTTTTTTTGATTAATCGTATGCCTTCTAGGGTTCATGGGTTTCAAACTCCGTACAACATCTTATTTCCTAATGGAGAATTGTTTTATATTCCTTTGTGGGTCTATGGGTGTCCCTTCTATTCCTTTTGTTCTTTTATCTTCTCTTGCTCCTCTACTTGCTCCCACATTTCCATTACCATCTCCTTTTCATGTCTCTTCTCGGTTTTTCAGTGTTAGCGCAAGAGGGTTGATTCTAATGTTCTTGAAGAACTAGTTCCATTGTCAGTTGATCCTTTTTAGACTTTAGAATCACTAGACATTGATCTAGGTATTTCTTTTGTTGAATTTGTTCCCATTGTTGATATTATCCTTGTTATTGTTAATAATACACCTCTTCGTAGTGATCTTGATCTTCCCATTGCATTCTGCAAGGGGAAGAGACGAAGCACTTCCATAGCTCACTTTATTTCACACCATATCTCATATAACTCTCTTTTATCATCCTATCATGTTTTCTTGTCTTCTCTTGCTTTTATGTCTATACCTAGGATTGTCACTAAGGCTCCTTTTAATCACTGGTTAGATATGCTGGTCATATGGTCTGACGCACCATAATCTATAATCCAAGGGATTTTATGATTACATGACATAGTAGCATGATTTGCAAAAGCATGAATACTTGAGTGAGCAAAGGTGGATATAGCTTCCAACACGTCTCCTTGGTGTGCTTCAATTTCTTGCAGTTTTCATATATCACTTCTTTCTTTTTAGTCGGCCCCTTTGACTTTATCCTAGAATGGGCAAAATGCTTAATGAGTGGAGGTCCTTGTAATTGTACTTTCTTCTACTCTCATAGAACTCAGGGTTGAGTCTTATGAGAAACTCAAACACCCTGTTTCTTTCTACTAGCTTTTTGTATGTCTCTACATCTTTGGTACTCTCCCACACAACTGTCTCCCTTACATTAATCTCTTGCCTCGATGACTTCAACATAGAGTAGTACACAACTACACTCTACTCCTTTTGTCTTAGATTATTCACATCATTCTTCACCTTATAGGCTTTTGCAACATTCAACTTTTGAGAGTATGTTTCTGTAACGCTGTCCCAAATTTCCTTGATCGAATTCATCTAGAGGTATTGCTGGATTATGTAAGGTTGCAAAGAGTTGACTAACCATCCAATCACTATATAGTTCCCTGCATCCATTTTTCATATGTAGGACCAATTTTTGATGGTTTCTCCTTACTACCTATAAGGTAACCCAATTTACCTCTACTGCAAACATAAATCTGTATGAATTGTGCTCAAACCAAGTAAATCCTTCCATCTAGCTTAATTGTTGTCACACCAGTCAGAACAGAATCTGCTAGACCAACCCCGGACACCGGGGTTCTGTTTCATCTCACTTCTAGATTGCTCCATTAACCAAACGAAAATCCAAAAGCAATGATAGTTCCTATGGCACAAATTGTGATCAGTCCCGCACCTATAGGCCCCAAAAATTAGGGTTTCACTACTCTCGGCTATGTTGAGCGCCACTCTCACACTGTCTCTTTAATCTATAATTGGGAATAAAAACTCTCTAGCGGCTAGGGTTTTGAGCAAAAAACAACAGCCTCAATTTCTTGTCAATCTATAGCAGTTTCTATCTCTCCAAACCCTCTACCAACTAGGATCAAATGATCTCAAAACAATCAGCAATCTATCTCTCCATACACTCTTCTAAGCAAAGGGTGTATGGGGAAAAAAAAAAAGGAAGGGAGAAAAAACAGGAAAGGTGCTCTGATACAAAGATGTGATTCAGTCCAATACAATCAGAAAATAAATCTCAGATTATAAGTAGAAAAGTGAGAGAAAATAAGAGAAACAGTAGATAAGAGAAGAAAGAAGATGAAGAAGAAAGGAGGAGAAGATTGTTCGACCACTTCCTCCCTTACTCCTTTAATCTTTTATTAATCTTAACTTAATGGGAACAATAACAATACTGCCCTTAAATGGGCAGCCAGCTCATAAACATACTTAAAAATAAATAAGAAAAGGTTAACGGGCCCATAAGGACAAGGCCTTGTAACAAACGTAACAGGTAAAATACAAAAATATAATATAATGATGCACTAAGGTCCATCTGGTCTCTCTACAATAATCAAGCTGTAATCAACATTGCCCACACAATCCAATTCAGCATGATAGGGCGAAGCATATTGAGATAAGCAAACACTTTATAAGAGAGAAGAGAGGGTGACATCAAGAGAAGTGTGTCTGCCATATATTTCATCTAACTTACAGCTAGCTGATGTCTTCACTAAGGGAGTTGCAAAAAGCAAGCTTGAACATGATCTACAAAAGTTTGGAATGTGTGACATTTATTACCAACTTGAGGGGGAGTGTTGAGGACTTGCTGTCATTTATTTTCTTGTTAATTAGTTGCTCTTATTTGGCCAAAGGTCCATTAGTTTAGTGCTGATTAAGTTTCTTTGGTGTGTTGACAGTAGCCACCCTACTAAGGACATATTTGGCATTGTAAAAGTTAATGGGAGAGGTGGCCAAATTACTATTGTACATCTTTTATTTCTTCTTCTTCTTCTACTTCTTTCAAAAATCTTCTGTGTTTTATCTTCTTCTTTCTCTGTTATTTTATTTTTGTTATTTGCTCCCAAGGAGCATATGGAACTGATAGTATTGCTCATTTATTGCATGAGTATCTCTATTATTATTTTGTTCTATCATATTTTGTATTTCTGTTAGAACCTTGTGATGGAAAGTTATAAATGCTCAACTAATATCAGGTTTTTCTTTTATTTGTGAATAATGAATCCAGAGGTAATCGAGGGGCCATCACGAATATCACTTAATTGTCCTATAAGGTATTCATTAATATCACTTTAAAGTTATATATCTTTGTAAGTGGCTCAGCAAGTTATGGATTTGATGAATCCATTAAGACATCTTGAGCATTTGCACAAGCTCTGGACTTTATCTGATTACTCTTTTTTTTTTTTTTTCTCTTAGCATGTGAATAACATTTATGGTTAAATTGTTTGTGACTGGTAAAGAAGAATTTTATTGAGGACGAAAAGAGAATTAGGGGATAGACTGTTTCTGCTCTCCAATATATCATAGTTGTTTTAGTGTTGGTATAAAACCTGATTGAACTTGTAATGCTACCTGCTAGCCGTTACAAGTCACAATCCCGTGAAATGCGGGGTACGGTGGTGAGCTCCTCGAGGTTGTCAGGTTGGTGTCTGTGTTAGGCCGCCAGGTCGGTGCCTGGGCCAGGCCGCCAGCTCGTGCCAGGGCCAGGATGGCAGCTCGTGCTAGGGTCAGGTCGCGCCAGGGCCAGGCTGCCAGCTTGTGCCAGGGCCAGGCTGCCAGCTTGTGCCAGGGCCAGGCTGCCGGCTTGTGCCAAGGCCAGGTCGCGCCAGTGCCAGGCCGCGCCTGTGCCAGGCTGCATGAGGGTGAGCTACCTGTGGCGAGCTGCCTGTGGTGAGCTGCCTGTGGCGAGCTGCCTGTGGCGAGCTGTTTGTAGCGAGCTGCCTAGTTGTCAAGAGGCTGCCAGGTGTCATAAAGTCATTGGAGGGCCAAATCCGCCCTCATCACTTTATATACCATTGTTGAGACTTGAGACTGCAAGCGGTTATTATTGGCAATTTTATGTTTTACTCTCAAAGAGTAAGTAGGGGCAGAAAAGTGAGGGGGCTTTTGATAACAAATGAAGTTGCTGAACTGAATGACTTGCTACATTGTTTTTAGTGGATAAAAATTTTCTGTAGTAAACTATTCAAAGGTATAGTAATCTACCCAACTTCAGCTTTGGCCATTAAGGGGCCTACAACTTGATTAAAAACTTTTTCACTGAAAGACAAAGCAATAAGCTTTTCAGTTCAGCCATTTCAGCTGTTATCAAATGGCCCCTAAAACAAAGTATTGGGTAGTCATTAGAAGCTGAAGCTAGTAGTTGTAACTCCTAAGTTGATCATCCTTTGATCCATGTATGTATAGTTTTCAAGGTGCCAAGGTGAGGCTAGGGGGACAGGGGGGAACCTAGGCGATGGATTTTTTAGTAAAACACCTAGATGCTAGGGTAGTTCCCTAGGTACCCAAACCATATTGCCTTAACATTTATTTATAATTTTCGTCAGTATAAAGTCCATGTTAAAGTATAGAAGATCAACATATTCATGAGAAGAAAAAGAAGAAAGAAAATTTTTGATTAGGCAATTGTATAATAAGAAAATAATGAAAAGAAAATTGTATATAAACACACAAAATGAATATTTTAGTTTAATAATCTCTTTTTTATAATTATAACCTCAAAAAAATAAAGAATAAAAAAGTATTTTATAATAGAAAGTACAAAACTGCTTGGTGATTAGGTGAGGCGAGCCTCCAAGGGCGCCTTGTCGCCTAGGCGCCACCTTGACAATTATGCATGTATGTTGCATGTCCTCCCTGTAGCTAAGAAGACAAAGTAACTGAGACACAGCTGAAAGTCATTAGCTTTTAAGGATCTTACTGATTAGCCCAAAATTACAAAGAAATAATAATTCTTTATGAGGGGCAGTGTTAATTTATTATTACAATTTACAATTTACAATTTCATAGACATTCTAGTTCCATAGTTCTTTGTTCTTCCTCTTTTTTTTTTCTGATAAACAGGATCAAGTACCATTTCTCTGATTATAATATCTGCTTATATTGGGGGTAGTCTGATTTTTATATTCCATTATTTAACAGCCGCACACGTATTAAGACTCCTGTTAAAGGACATCTCTGCAAACATCATCAGGTGAGACTTACTACACTATCAACAATGTTATAGGATTGTCAGTGAAGCTCGTAATGTCCTTCAGGTTTTCTATGATGGTCTACCAACAGCATTACTCCTGATATGGCATGATGTAGAGTAGAATCACCAGTTCAAGCCTTCTGGGATTCAAATGTCAAGTAATGATCCTAGTGTTCATGGAAGACATTCTCTGGATTGATTTGAAGCTGATATGCTTTGTTTATTACCACATACTTCTGGAAATAAGGTTCAGTTGAAAATGAAAATTTATTTCATTATATATGCAATTTAGGGAGGTTCTGAGCATATATATGGTAATTATGGATTATGCATTCAGTTTAGTTGGCTTTTTTAGCCAAGGAGATCTCTGAAGTCTGGCCAGCAAATTGGTGGTTCTGACGAATCTGACCACTGCATCTGCTGAGATATGCTGTTGTCTTGCTGGGTAGACCATCCTTTTGTTCCATACTCTGATAGTTTTCTTTTATTTCCTATAGAATTAAATGTTTGGACCTTTCAGCCTTCTTTCTTATTGCATTTTTGGGTTTATCCATCTATGCAGTGTTTTGATTATGACAACTTCATGGAAATAAACTCAAGAAGACCATCTTGGCGGTGCCCTCATTGTAACCAGACTGTTTGCTGCACTGACATACGTATCGATCAGAATATGGTTAAGGCAAGTTGTTCTTGGTTGCTTTTGCCTTGGTTTTCTCATTTTGAATAATCCCATGTTACAGGTCCTGAGGGAGGTGGCAGAAGGTGTTGCTGATGTGATTATTGCAGCAGATGGATCCTGGAAGCCTGTCTTTGAGAATGATGATAGTGTACATCAAACCCAAAACACAACATGCCAAGAAGATGGGTCTGAGCAGAGCATTCCCACAAAGTTCTCAAAATCAAACAACCCGGATGATGTTGTTGATCTAACAATGGGGGATGATGGAAACAATATCATGGATTCTTCTCAAATTGAAGACAGGAAACCTTTCCATGATAATTATCAATTTCTTGGGGCTGCGAGAAATTTCACAGTGCCACTAGAAGTCAGTAGTGCATCCGAGCAGGTTCATAATGCTGCTTCTCATACAGAGGATAATATCTGGTCTGGAATTCTCTCATCCATCTCCTCTGCCTCTTATGGGTCATTAGCCCCTAGTACTAGGTTTGATACCGTGGTTGGTGACTCTGAATCAATTCCTGCTAATTTTATGCCTGCTCCTGTGTTAACTGATGCTGTATCCCCTGCACTTAACCGAGGATCTGTGGATGTCTGTGGGACCATTCAACCCACTACCTCCATACCTCAAAGCCAATTTTGTGGTCCCTATAACTTGCAGTTACAGCAATCACAATTTGGGAATTCAATGGTCAGCAGTGAATATGGGAGATCATCTATTAGACATGTCAGCAGAACTCCAATAGCAATTCAGGCCCTTCCAGCCCAGACTCAAATGCCTAGTTCACATCAAAGGCAACGGACAAATTTGAATTCCTTGATGCCCAATGTTGCTGTTTCTTCTGTTCCTCAGAGCTCTCCATTTATTTCACCCATTACAGATGGGCTCAATGTCAATGGCAGTGACACAGAAAGGCAGCAACAATTTTCCAGGCCAATAATGAATCCTTTGGCGGTGCCAGACATTGCTTCATCATCGATGCATAACCACTCAACGACTCAGGTTCAGTTTGTTCTTTAGCTTCTGTTGAAGTGATGATTATTCCTTTGGATTGGACCTACCATAATTGAGTACTCACCTAGGAATCTTCCATCAAAAGTATGACCCATTTGCATGGATAGTAGGACAAATAAGGTTGTCTTTTTGTATAGAGTATATATTAAGCCATATATGAGAAGGGAATCTAGATAATAACTGGGTGCATGAAGGGTTTGAATTTGGGGAAGAGAAACTTGGGTGCTAGATGATATTTTGGAATTTGCAAATGTTATGGCAACAATAGATGCATGCTTTAGAAATAGGGGTGATCATGGGCTAGGTCAGGCATTGGGCCTATGCATTTAAATATATTATATTTAATACTATAATGCTTTTATATTAAAATACATATAATATATGTATAAAATATATTTTATAATGTGTATAAATATAAATATATCTTAATTGTCATTTTATAATACTAGCAAATGTGACAATTTTATTCTCTAACACTTTGCATGTGACAATTTTAGATGATGATGATGACGACCATGACAGTAATAATATGTCCAAATTTTTTCTATAATTTTTAAACATTTCTATGTGCATGAAAATAATTCCCATTTAATACACTTATTTTTGTTTAATATGATGAATATATGATATTAAAGTTGTGCCAAAACGTTTTTACAAAATTCATGTATTTTTTGTAAGTTTGTGTTTTTATCTTTTTTATTTTTTATTATTTAATTGTCACATCATAGGTTGACCCATTTGGTCGAGATAGTTGAATAGCTTACTCACCACGTAACGGAAGAAGGTTTCATTTTCAGGTCTATTAAACATGGGCTTTATATTGTTAAAATTATTGAGTATAGATTTAATTAATACAATTCATTGGTGAGAGAAATACCTTGAATATAGGATATAATAAGAGAGAATGGGAGTTAATATCTTAAGTATAAGACATAATGAGAGGGAATTGAATGAAGTTAAAAGTAATAGTTAAATTGCACTTTTTGACCTTACAATTAGAGAGGGACTAAACTCAAAAAGGGGTATTGTAGTAAAAAAGGGGTATTCCACACTTTTTTATTTTTTAAAAAGTGTTAGCAGGTAATCCTATCGAAGTGGAAGTTAGACCCTTGATGAAGGTTTCTGAGAAAGAGGGTGGCATGAAGGTTTCTTCCAATCACCAAAAGGAAGAAGTGCAGGAGTCTACCTCGGTCATTGGAAGTTCAGATGAGGGGGGATGGAATTTGGTGGAAATAGGGGCTGAGGTCAGCATTTTCAAATTTCAAAACCCACACACATGGAATTGGGCGATGTGGCTTTCATTGACAAGCTAGCCGAGGTGGTTGCGGACCGCCTTAAAAAATCGAGCAAAAGAGTTGAATGTGGACCTCAAAGGCCTTGCCCCCTTTCATAAAATAAGGAAGGAACAACCTAAAGCCTATTTGCAATCCCAATCCATTACGTATCAAAAGCGCAATTAAGGACATTCATCTTGGGTTTAGGTATCAACAATTCAAGGGCAAAGGTAAAGTAAAGGCACAACCTAGATTGAAGTTTCAACCTCGTCTTCGTTTGAGTTCGGAGGTTCAATAGGAGGAGAAGGATCAAGCTTTCCTAACACTTGGAGCGAAGACGGCTAGCAAGATAGTGAGAGGGAGGATATCAGGGCTTGTTTACTGTTTCCAAAAGAAAGTTTGTTAGGTGGAGGAAAGGAAGCAGAAGCAGCAGTAACTTCTTCCTCCAAGGAAGCTGCACCAATGTTGGCTAACACAAAGATGAGGCACCTCGAAGTTTCAAATACAAGCTCTCCTATTTCAGAGAGGCAGGAGTTCCTAGTGCTATCCGTTCCAATAATAACAGACATTTGCGAGAAGTAAGATTCTCCTTTGGCTCAGGCCCAGATGTAGATGATGCCAAAACCTTTAGCTGTAATTCTTTTTGCCAATGAATCTCTGTAGACACAACTACAATAGGCGAATTTGAGGTATGTTGAAGAAAATGAAATTTCCAATTGGGTCATGTCTAAATTTCTTGGTTTTGGGGAGTTCTTGGGGGTATCTTTAAAGGGCTTCATGTGTAAACAAAAGCCCTATTGGTGGCCATTGAAAACGGATTTTTGGTAGAAAAGGGGAAGAAAAATAGAAGGCAATTGAAAGACTTACTGAGACTTGCCTGGGGTTTAAATGATAGTGCTAGAAGCGTGAGACGAAGCAATAAATCTTTTGGAAACTAGAGAATGGAAAGATTAAAATTAATCTCGTGGAATGGCTAAGGCCTCGGTTCAGGCAGAAGAAGATTGGTAATTGAGTGTTTTTGAAGGAAATGAAAACCTGATTTTCTTTTTAAATTACAAAAGTTATCTTTCAAAATGGTGAAAAGTATTTGGGGTATTTATCCATGTGATTGGCTTGAAATCCCATGTGTCAATGGATCAGGTATATGGTAAACCCGGCTTGACCTGACCCTATAGGGTCGAGTTAGGGTCCATATATTTGGTTTTAGGGTCGGGTTAGGGTTTTGATTCTTTAACCCGATTCAGGTTCAGGTTTTGACTTCTAAGTCTATAGCTATAAAGTTTAAGATTTATTTGCATGTTGGTTTTGATTTTTTTTTCTTTTTTTTTTAAATGGAAAAGTGACATCTTAGATTCTATAAAACAATTTCCTAACTTAAATTAATGGACTTTAGGTCTTCAAAGCGTGTTAAAAAATACAATTGAAATGCTACGGGTCGATATAGGGTTGGGTCGGGTTCAGAAATTATGTATTTTTAAGGCGGATCGGGTTCGGGTTGAGGCACTATAGTGTCGGGTTAGGGTTGAGGCAAACCCGTGCCAAACCCGATCCGTTGGCATCCCTGTGGAACAAGAAAAAGACATAGCAGACTCCTTTGTCGGTTTCTTTAAAAAAACTTTTCGGTGAACCTTGCAAATGAAGATCAAAATTAGACGGCTTATTGTTTGGCTTTCTCTCAGAGCAGCAGGCCTTGAACATAGAGAAACCCTTTACAGAAGAAGAGGTAAAGAAGGCTTTAGAAGATATGGAAAGGGAAAAGGCTCCAGATCTGGATGTTTTCACTATGTTATTCTTTAAGAAAATTTGGGAGCTAATTAAAGCTGATTTGATGAAGGTGCTGGAGGAATTTCACGATTCTACTGCCTCGGAAAGAAGCCTGAATGCAACTTTTATAGCCTTAATTCCTAAGAAGAGTGGAGCTACTGAGCTGAAGGATTTTAGGCCAATTAGTTTGATTGGCAGTGTTTACAAAATCAATCTTGGCCAAAATTCTGGTGACCAGACTAAGATAGGTGATGGATTCACTGATCTCCAAGTACCAAGGTGCCTTTGTCAATAACAAACATATACATGATGTTGTTCTTATAGACCTAGAGAAGGCTTATGACCATGTCAATTGGGCTTTTCTAGACTATTTTGGAAAGAATGCACTTCGGCTCAAAGTGGAAAAGCTGGACGAAAGTCTGCATAACCACACCAAGATTCTCAGTTCTAGTTAATGGTTCAGCAAGAGGCAACTTTAATTGTCACCATTGTTATTTTTATTAGTAATGGAAGGTCTCAGTAGAATGGTAGACAGGGCTGCAGAGCTAAAGTTGTTGGAGGGTTTTGGAGTGAGCACTAATGGCACAAAAGTTCCCTTTCTGCAATATGCAGCTGATACATTCTTTTTTTGTTTCAGAGGACCAAATCATTAACCTGAAACATCTTCTTTTCTGGTTTGAGATAGTATCAGGCCTAAAGGTGAATCTAGCAAGAAGTGAAATGATAGCTGTTGGATAAGTTTCCAACACTCAGAGAATGGCCGATTTGTTGGGCTGCAAAATTGTCTTTCTTCCCAACAAAATATTTAGGGTTGCTTCTCGGTGCCAAATGCACATTCAAAGCCATCAGGAATCCAATCTTATAGAGGATGGACCACAAAAACTGGCCACTTGGAAAGCAAGGTATCTCTCCAAAGGTGGGAAGGTAACTCTAATAAAGAGTGTGTTAGCAAGCCTCCCGATTTATTTTATGGCCCTCTTTCTGACTCCTTAAGAGGTGGCAGAGAAATTGGAAAAGAAGATAAAAGATTTTCTTTGGCTGGGTTGGAAAGACTTGTAAATATCACCTTGTGAATTGGGACCAAATTTGTAAACCCCATTACCAAGGTGGTTTGGGGATAAGACATTTAAAGTCCTTCAATTTAGCCTTGCTGGGTAGTTGGCTTTGGAGGGTTGCTACTGAGTTGGATAACCTGTGGAGGATGGTAATAGTGAAGGGATGAGAGATCCATCATATGGATGGCCGAACCTTGCAGGAAGGTTGGGCGAAATTTCAAAAATTTCTCTCTCCCATGTGGGAATCGCATTCCCTATTTTAGAAAACTGCATTTTCAAGGATCAATCTTGAAACCAAACCGGACCAGATCTGAAACCAAAAGGGAGTGGAGGGTTATACCTGATACGAAGTAATAATAACCTCCAATGAAGGTGTTCACGCCCAAGGAAAAATCCAAAGACTGCTTCCACCGAAGATGACATGGTGCAGGATGAAGCAGAATCAGCAGGATGGTTCTTCAGCAAGAACCAAATTCTTAAGCAAGAATTTGATGGAGGGCTAGTGAGCACGACTTCAAATTACCTTTTCTACCAAAAGGTAATATCAAGAACCCTTCTTGATCGCTCCCACAGGTGGAGATCGAACTGGTATGGCGGCAAGAGCAGGAGAGAAGGAGACAGTGCAGTCAAACTGTGGTGTCTTTCTCTGGAATTCAGTAGTCTGTTAGATGATCTGGAGGTTCGCCCTGCTCTTCTATTTATAGCCTTAAAGAGAGGTTCTCCTAATCCCATTAGGAGTTTCCTAATCCAAATCGTTTATTTGGATCTAGACTCTCTTTTAGAGATAAGGATAATCCCTTATCTTATCTGCAAATAAAGATCAGCCTGCCTAATCTAATTAGGAGTTTCCTGATCCAAATCTTTATTTGGATCTAGACTCTTTGAGTGGATAGGGATAATCCCTTATCCTATCTGCTGATCTAAATCCCAGAACCGCCATTTTTTAACTAATCTCATTAAGCCAGTTCAAATTGAGCTTTAGGCCCATTAAGTCTACCTGCTCACTAGCTCCTCAATCTGCTGCCCAGTTGGTTATCCTTGTATGGCGTGGGACCCAAACATTGATCTACACATCAGCCACATGGGTTCAGCCCAGCCTCTATTACAAGGCCTGGCCGAATTCACTG